TGGGGAATTATCCAAGGATCCAGGGAATGCCAGCACTTCCCATCTCCCACCCCACATTCCCCAGGGCAAGGACAAAATCTGCCCATTTGAAGGAAGAGCCGAACCGAGAGCAAAGTAAAGAAACCTCTGCCTGAGGAATGGATTCACAACCAAACCAAACGAAACTAAACTGAACCAAACGAAACACAACCCAACCCAGAGAGAGGAATGGATCAGAGCAGGAATGTGGGAACRAGGCACTTACAAATCCCCCTTTCCTGAGGCAGGAATCTCCAGGAGATGAGCTCAGCACGTACTCCACCATGCTGACCCCGAGGCCACCGCTCTCTGAGCGTGGTGACAGCACCGAGTTCACCTCACTGTTCACGTGGAAGCCCTGCCCAGGTCTCCTCTGCACCATGATGGGTTGGGAAACGGAGTGATCTGCAACAAAACCACAGCAAATTCTCACAGCCACATCCAACTGTTCAAAAAAGGCAAATTCAATCATTCAGTGTGTCCTCCCCAGGGGCTTATTTGCACTGAAATGTGCCAACTCTGTGACTCTGATGATGCCCATCAGTAAAACAGGATGGCTTTCTCAGTTTTTAAATACTGGAATGTGTAAACCTACAAGTGAGAGCTACGTTTAACATCTAAACCCATCAAATTTCAGGCATTTCAACTAATTAGAAGTTGCAATGAAAAAAAACAAAGTTTTAGTTTTTAGCTTTAGTAAAATTCTTGCATTAGTGAAAAAGAACTTTTGGGTTGTCCTTTCAAACATGGTCCCACTGCTACCCCAGCCTGTCCCTGTGTCCTCACTCCCATCAATTGTTCAGGCCATGATCAGGAATTTTTCTGGCTGATCTTTCCTCAGGAAAAGGTTCAGTTCATTTCTTCTTCCTCATCTCGCCATCCTCCTGCACCAGCCCCATCCTTTTTTCCATCCCCAGAGCTTAAGGTTTTGAGATCCAACCAGGACAGACTCAGGAATCTCCAAATTCTTCTGGGCTCTGTAAAAATCCCTGGCTGGGCAGGAGGGGAGAGGAGGGGAAAGGGAAACCTCCCCAGACAGATCCATCCAGGCACATTTGAAGAAGCTCTGTCCCCTTTTCATGGCCATTTTTTAATAGAAATAGTAAAAAAAGGTTTTATTGCTATCCCAAAGCCTTCACCTAAACTGTGGATATCAGGGAAAACCCCACAACAGTGAGATTGCTGGAAATCCTATTTCCCGGAAGCTAGAATTCCCATTTCCCATGAGATGGAAATCCCATTTCCTGAGAGCATAAATCCCATTTCCTGGGATCTGCACATCCCATTTCCTGAGAGCAGTAAATCTCATTTCCTGGGATCTGCACATCCCATCTCCTGGGAGCTGGAAATCCCACTTCCTGGAAGGGGGAAATCCTATTTCCCGGAAGCTGGAATTCCCATTTCCCATGAGATGGAAATCCCATTTCTGAGAGCAGTAAATCCCATTTCCCGGGATCCGTAAATCCCTTTTCCCATGAGCTGGAATTCCCATTTCCCAGGAGCTGGAATTCCCATTTCCCAGGAGCTGGAATTCCCATTTCCCAGGAGCTGGAGGTTTTGGGAATTGCACTACACACCCAGCAGTGTTCCAGGAGCATTTCCATCCCACAAAAAACCCCACAACAGAACAAATCAGAACAAATTTTAAACCCAGCACTTCATGGGATTTTTTTTCCTAAAACCAACATGAATATTGTCCCCCAAAATTCAAAATCAGGGACAGTCTCTGAGCCAAGAACAAAATCCTTGGCAGATAAAATTCAATATTAATTAAAAACATACATTTTTTTTTCTTTTTTAGGATGTTGCTCTCCCTTCAAGTCCAAAATCAGGGACAATCTCTGATGCAAGAAGCAAATCCTTGGCAGATTTAACTCAAGACCATTAATTCAAAACATCTTTTTTTTTTTTTTTTTTAACTGAGTGCTGGGTTTTGGCTGGTTGGTTTAGTATTTAAAAAAAAAGAAGGGTTTTTTTTTAAATTCATCTTTTTCTCCAATATCTTTGTTCAAACTTTCAGCTCATACATCGCAAGACAGAAACCRCATCGGAAATTGAAATTTTAAGGCAATTTCAGATTTTTAAGCAGATAAACACGAATTTCCATGTATTTATACACACGGGACAATGTTTTGACATCTATGGATATCTGAATTTTATCCCAATGTGAGGTTTTTCTGTTTACTTCTTTCTTACAGAAACCAGATGTTTTAAAAACCAGGGTTTTAAAATCTTTCCAAAGCTGGCCAGTTTTACYCTGAGTAAATAAATTGCACATTTCTGTATTCAACCCCAACTAAATTAAGGAAATAATTGAGCTACCTGATGTTCCCCAAGCACTGTCTCTCCACTGATCTCCCAGAAATATCCCTTTTGGTCCATCTTTGCTGGAATCATCAGATTCCCAAAACTTTTTACCCGGCAACAGCTGCTGCAATTAAAAAAAAAAAAACAAAAACAAAACAAACAAAAAAGAAGAACAAAACAAAGCAAAGCATGATTAAAATAAGTATAAAATGCAAACAGAAACCATAAGCGTCTCCCTCCAATCAGGAATCAATCATTAAACACAACTGGTACATCTTTAATAAACCAAATATTTATCAAATATTTATATTCTCCAGGGTGAAAACTCAGGGAACAATTCCACCCCCCCCATTTTCTGTTTTTATTATTGCTTTCTATTTATTCCTTATTTTCTTACAAGCTCCAGGAAGCTCACACATGTCAGACACTCACACCACTGACACTCTCCAGGCTCTCCACACTTCCAAGAAAAAATAAAGGAGGAGGAAAAGATCAGGATCCAAACATTTGCTGGGAGCTCCCAGCACAAATTCCTGCCTCCCAACAGGAGCTGGGGATGGAAAAGATGGGATAGAAAAGCTCAGGAGGTGCCAGGAGATCCCAATTGTCCCTGAGGATTCTCCTGCTCAGAGGTTGCTTGGGAACACTGATGGGATTGGGCAGCTCTGGGCCAGCAGCTGCCACCTGTTGGGGCTGCAGGAATGGGAAAAGCTCACTGGGAATGGGACAGAGCCGTGCTGGGACTGGGAGAGCCCGGGGCTGACAGCTCTGGGGGTCAGGGATGGCACAGGGAACACGGGGTACTGTCTCGGATGGGGGGTTGGGAACAGCCTCACCAGGAAACCCCAGCTAGAGGCACCTCCACACGGGAATTATGGACCCTGAGATGGCCAGGGGAGAAAATTCCAGTAAATTGGATGGATGGATGGATGGATGGATGGATGGATGGATGGATGGATGGATGGATGGATGGATGGATGGATGGATGGATGGATGGATGGATGGATGGACAGGGAGGGATGAAACCACAGCACATTCAGCAAGAAATGAGTCTTGCCTGAAGCTGGGATAAAACTCAGTGAAGTGGAAGATGAAAAATACCTGAATCTATGAAATTACCACAGAACAAACATGAATTACCACATCTGGGGATCTCCCATCTGCATCAAGAGTAGTGATAAATCCTGATTGAGATCAACCTCAATATCAGAATTGATATCAACCTCAATACCCTGACTGAGATTCATTTCAATATCCTGACTGAGATCAACCTCAGTATCCTGATATAAAATCCAATATTCTGACTGATATCAACTTCARTATCCTGACTGAGATCAACCTCAGTATCTTGATTGATATCAACTCCAATATCCTGCCTGATACCAACTCCTGGTAACTCCAGCAGCAGATGTGCAAATTTAAAGCTGAATTTGATTAAATCAGCTGCTGGAGGAAGCAGAAGAGCTGATTTCACAGCTCCCAGGGTGCTGGTTTAAACCAAAGTTGTGCTCTCCATTTCCTCCTCAACTCAGAAAGAAGTATTTGTTCACCAAATCCTTTACTTTCCAGACCAATTCCAGGCAGGATTTCTCCTCACCCCCTCAACATGGTGTGGGCTGCCTGTGATTCTCCAGGCTGAAGGATAAAAGCAGGGACCGTGCTGCTCTTTGTGCAATCCCAAAATGCTCCAATGTGAGGGCASAGACTCCCAGGAGCAGCACCCACTGGCAAACACATGGATTTGGGTTGAACCTGCTCCTCCAGCTGTACTGGGAGGATGGAGGGAGGGGAAAGCCAAGCCACTGCTCTAGGATTTATAAACACAAACAAAGCTCAGGTGTCCTGAAATTTCTGAGCTTTTGTCATTCCCAYAGTCCTTAAAAAGCAGCTTTTTTATCTCCTGCTGCTGCCACACTGTAAATATAAGAATTCTACTTCTCAGGGTGTTTCAAGGAATTTTGAAGAGGAAGTGACACAAACTGATTGAGCCAAATTTCAGCTGCAATTAAACCGAATTTTTGCTGCAATAAAACAATTCTGATTTTTTCTGTGAACTCCTCACAGCGCAAGACACAAAGTGCTCTGCAGCCAGAGCTCCAATCATGAAATCATGCAATGGTTTGGGCTGGAAAGGACCTCAGACCCCATCCCATCCCACCCCTGCCATGGCAGGGACCCCTCCCACTGTCCCAGGTGCTCCCAGCCCCAATGTCCAGCCTGGCCTTGGGCACTCAAAGGGATCCAGGGGCAACCACAGCTGCTCTGGGAATTCCATYCCAGCCCCTCCCCACCCTCCCGAAGAGGATTTTGAAAATAAAGGACAGGAGAGGGATGGGGTTGCAGGAAGGAGACTGGAAAGAATGAGCAGAATAGAACATTTTCCAACCTTATCAATTCCATGATTTTCTTTTCAAGGATAAACGAGAGGGACTGGGGCCAAGGGCTGGAGGGACAGGACACAGGGAATGGCTTCCCAGTGCCAGAGGGCAGGGATGGATGGGATATTGGGAAGGGATTGTTCCCTGGGAGGGTGGGGAGGGGCTGGGATGGAATTCCCAGAGCAGCTGTGGCTGCCCCTGGATCCCTTTGAGTGCCCAAGGCCAGGCTGGACATTGGGGCTGGGAGCAGCCTGGGACAGTGGGAGGGGTCCCTGGGGTGGAACTGGATGGGATTTAGGGTCCCTTCCCACTCAAAGTGCTCTGGGSTTCTCTCAAACCCGCACAGGCGGCTCTGCAGTGCCATTTCCCTGCTGGAGGGTGACTGAAGCCACCTCAGCCCTTCCCCGCTTCCCCCACTCCCCTTTTCCCCCTTTCCTRAAGAAWACAATCCTTTACCAACCCAATCCCRCWGAGCTGCACCCCAAAACMTTCTGTGTTTYGCRCTGARTCACACATAAAGGTCACAAAAATCCCAAATCCCATTAWCTCCTGCAYTCCCCTGCTCCTGCACAACCACCCCCAGCTCTGCCCCCCTCCAGCTCAATCCTTCCCCAAGTTTCCACTGCAAGTTCTGCACCAGCAACAGAACCAACACAACAGAGATGTTTACCTCACATGGAGACTCCAGATCTATTTCCAGATCTCRGGGAAACCCCAAAACCAGCATTAACAAATGCTAACAGGGGCTTTGTTCTGTGGAGGGTTAGCAAGCAGCATTCATCTGCACTGAATTATGCAACAGGCTGCCAAGACAATGGGTTTTTCCTCAGGGAAAGTTGTCAGTTGCAATGGAGGAAAAAAATAAAAAAAGGTATTTTAAGTGACTCTCATCCAGTTCTGCAGGTTGGTAATTTAAAAAGAACAAGCAGCTGTTTAGAACCAGAGTCGTTTATTCGTTGCCTGGTTTTTATTAAAATTGACCCTATCCAGTATGAAAATAATCCTGCTAAGCCCWCTTACAGAGGACTTACAGTTAGGCCAATATTCAACTGAGCAGAGCAGGGAGGAGGGGACRCCTTCCACATCATCAACAAAAGCAATTCTTCCAGCAGCGGGCAGGGCAGAGCCTGCACAGAGATCCCACTGAGATGGGATTAGGAATTGGACAAATTGAGAAAACTGATCCCCCTCGGACAAGGCAAATATTGAGATAAAAGCAGCCATCTGTGCAGAGCAGAGCTGGGTTTGTCTGCAGCAACAGGCAGGGAGGCAGAGAAAGGGGATCCGGGGGCTGCCAGCTTCCACTCGGGCAGCCCTGCAGCTTCCCTGCCCTCCTGAACTGCTGTGAGCCCCAGAGCCCCGGGACAGGGACAAGGGACAGGGGGCACCCAATGGGCAGTGCCAGCTCTGCAGCTTCACAAACCCTGAGCTATTCCCTGCCCTCCCGAACTGCTGTGAGCCCCAGAGCCCCAGGACAGGGACAAGGGACAGGGGGCACCCAATGGGCAGTGCCAGCCCTGCAGCTTCACAAACCCCAGTGTGTTCTGTGTCCTCCCAAACTGCTGCCAGCCCCAGAGCCCTGGGACAGGGATCAGGGAAGGGGCACCCAGTTGGCAGTGCCAGCCCTGCAGCTTCATAAACCCTGAGACATTCCCTGCCCTCCCAAACTGCTGCCAGCCCCAGAGCCCTGGGACAGGGAGGGGGTACCCAGTKGGCAGTGCCAGCCCCACAGCTTCCCAAACACAAGAGGCTGCAGGAATTCCAGTGCCCCCTCACTCAGCCCCACATCAAATGTCAGCACTGCCACCTGCCAGAGAAGCAGCACAGCAATAATTAATYAAATAATTAACCATTTGCTGTTAAATGCACAGCATTTCTTATCAGCGTTTCTTTCCCAGGGCAGGGTGAAATGCCCCTCCTACCCCCAATATTCCATGTGTGGAGTTAAGCACCTCCCAGGCCTCCTGTCTCTGTGCCCCATCCTCCTCCCACCCTCTGAAATTTCAGGCAGCAAYTCACCCAGCGGCTGCTGGACTGCAGACACAAACTGAGCACAGCCTGCTCTAAATCCAGGGTCCCAAATACCCGTGAAGACAAACCAAACTCCTCCTCCCAGCCCCTTCGTGCTGCCCACTGTCCCCAAGTCCACAGCACCAATATTCCCTGTCACAAAGCTAGAGATAATGGGATTTCTGCAAGGAACAGCTGAGACCCAGCGTCCCACCCTGAAGGCTGGGGTCAAAGGGAACTCACAGGGATTGTGTTCAGTCCCAGAGAAGTGTCAGAGCTGGGGGATCCCACTCGCTGGAAATTCAGAAATATGACGCTGGGTGCAGGGAGGGGGGTGGAAGTCAAGGATGGAAACAGCCCCAAGACAGATCAGAGTTGTGGGGTTTTAAAGCATTCCTAATTTTCCCAGATAAGGATATCTGTTGATCTCCAAGTATTATCTGCATGCTGAGAGCAGGGGAGATAAGAGATGTAACTGTTTGACATCGGCCTTTAAAAACTGMTCTGATGTCTTCAAAAACTCCTTAAATCACTGAAATTACGATGGTGCTTAACAAGGAGCAAGAAAACCAGAAGATAAAAGACACTAAATGCCGAAATGCTCTTTCTCATCTTTSTACTCCAGATGTTTCCACTATCAACCCCAAGAACAAGACTATAGACACTCCCCACAGATAAAGAAATACAAATCAAATTTGCTCTTTTCCTTATTTGTTTCACTTTCTGAGTTTCCTTCTCATTCCAGGAGCAGGAAGAGGGGAAGAATTCCTCAGTGCCTCACTAAGGCATCCAAACTGCACAAAATCCGAGTGCGTAGGTGAGGAACGTGGTCCTGAAAGCCAACACAGATCCTATTGGATCCCCTGAAATCAGCATTGGAGAGATACAGAGAAAATTCAATGGATAMAAAAGGGAAACTGCGAGACTGAGGGAGAAAAACTCCAAGACAAACAAGAAATCGTGGTTTAACTGAAAGAGAGGGGTGAAATGTCACTTTTCCTGGAAAARCAGGCTCATTCCAGCATGTGGAAAAGCCCAGTGACAAAATGATGCCACTGCCAAAACTTTCCACCTCAATTACAAGGGGGGAAAGAAAGTGAATCATCACTGGGAGGCAAAGCTCCAAAACACAAAGCCAAACTCACTCCTCTAGAAACACCGAAATCAATGAAAAGCTGGGAGAACTCAGCATTTTCAGGAATTCCTTGAGGTGTTTCAGCTCCCTGACCTCGTGGCACAATAAGCAAAGCGAGCTGTGACCTGTGAACCTGCTCCGGCCAGGCTGAGCTCTCAGTGCTCAACACGAACCTCCTGCCCTGCCCAAACGAGGTGGCACCAAACCATCTCCTCAAAACRTTCCACCCCCACCATTCCAYGGTGAGCCACACATGGAGCCACGGCAGCTGCTCTGCAGCCGCTCCAGGAATACTTCTAATGTCAGCTTTCCTCCTTTGTGCAGCAATTTCACCTACTCTCAGTCAATAGTGTTGGGGTAAATTAATCCAGCCTGGAAAAACAGGGATTCTCCTCTCCTCTCAAATCAAATCAAATCAAAATCCAGCCCTGGATTATGGTTTTCCAAGGAAGGAAAGGGAGAAGGAATGGAGGGGCAGGAAGTGGGGAGAAGGAAAGGAGACAAGAAAAGGAGGACAAGAGGGAGAATGAAAAGGGGAGAAGAGGAGAAGGAAAGGGGG